TCAGTGGAAATATAATTAGTTGACTATGTTGTATTAAAATATATAAAATCGAGTAGTTTTAAATAAGTTTATTGTTTTCCACTTTGCATTTCGATTAGTAAATATTTTCGTTCATATTTATCTAAATTAATTGAGTTTATTTTTCTAGTTGGATATATTTGTTTGGTGAAGTGTTTTGTTGATAGAAATAGTTATGGTATTTATATTACTCATATTTATCAACTTAGGGATATATTGTTTTGATAATTTCGTAAATTTTTTGCTTTTTTATTTGTTGTGTAATAAATATATCACATTTAGAAGCAAAGTCTGCATCCTTAAAAAAATTTTATTTAAAAGACAATTCTCACAAACACCACTAAATAAAGTTTTGTTTCCACAAATACTACAATTTTTTAAATGTTTCACAAATACCATTAAAAAAAAATTTGAAATCATTTGATTGAATAAGAGAAGTTTCTGCTTAGATTTTAAACTCTTCTAATACCCATCATCGAATAACATGCACTAAATTTTTAGTTTTATAGTAATTAAATTTTTGATCCATATACAAAACTATAAAATAGTTAAGTATTTTAATCAAATAAAATTTTGAAATTTTATAATATAAATTTTTTTGTAATATTGTAACTTTTTGATCAATTCAAATATTTGTAATATTTCAGTTTTTAATCAAAGCAAAGTTTTACAAATCTTTAAATTTATAATATTCTATCTTTCCGATCGAATTGAAATTTTTTTTAAAATCATTATATTATGTAGTCTAATCATTTGGGTTAACAGAAAACTTTAAGTTCAATAATTTTATATGCAATGTCAGTATATATTAAGAGGTACAAATTGAACTTATTACTTATGTTAGACAATTTATTGGAGGTAAAATTGATTTTTTGTCTCAATCTAAAATTTTGATTCCAATTCATAACTCGATTTAATGGATGATATACTCGGATGAAATGTTTAAACCATGATGCTTAGATAGTTTAGTCATGTTTCTTTTCTTTTGGACCCAAAACCAGTTCATTGAGCAAGTAATATATTCTTTATTATTAGGAGAAGGTCAAGCATCATGTTTGATGATCCAAATTTTGTCTTTTCAAGACAAAGTACCATGACTTAGCTGGTTTTAATATATTTTTTTGTTGTTAAAAAGGAAAATTTCGAGCATCATGTTGGAGATTCAAAAATTTTGTTATTTAAATCTCCAATGTTCTCTAGTAAGTTTTCCGATGCACTTTTTAAAAATATATTCTAAACTGCAATCAAAACTCTAGAAAATATTAGAAAGTTAGATTGCATTTTTTTTTGTTTAAAACATGTCACAGTTAGTAAATTATATAAGCCAAAAGGAAAAAGACAAAATTCATTAAAAAAAAAAATGAAAACATCGTAAAGAGGTGAGCATGATAACCGTGAAAACCGAACTCAATCCCTAAGAGCAATAACTCTTGAGACCAATTTGAGTTACAGAGACGTTTTACTACTTGATCTGTTTCTATATGGAGATTACATGTATCTACAACAACTTTACACCAAATTGGATGCTCCTCATCATCACCAAATATAAGCGAACATTCTTCGAAAAGTCCAAATATAAGTAAATTTTCCTCCTTTGCTCGTTATATCTTGAGTTCTCGCTCTTGAAATGAGCCAGTGTGGTCTGCCTAGAAGCTCTGTTACATACCTCACATCTCCTGCAGCAAGAGCATGGCGGACTCGTGTGGATGAGACTCGTCCTCTTTCCTTCAACTTTGAGTCCTCCTCTGTCTCTGCAATTCCACAGACTTGATTCTTATCCATCACGGAGTTAATGATGTCATCGCTGATACCGTACTCTTCGCATAACCTCACAAGCTCAAAGGCGTCACCAGAAGCTCTATATCTAAACCGGTAATTTTCACCTATGAAAAGATGGAAAAAATGAATTGTCAGAGTTTCGAGAAAGGAGCAGGTTTTTGAGAAATTTACCGAATTCACCTGCCACAACTCCGCAAACTCTGAGCTCTCTTGACAATTTCTCCACAAACTGTTGTGGATTAAGATGTCGAACGCTGGCAAATTCTATCTCAAACTCTNCTGGTGCTATGTCCCCGCAATGCGATGACCAAGAGGAAAGCACTCGTTTTCTATCACATTTGGCAACAATCGGTGCCCTGTTCATTAGTCATGGTCTAGTGAATTTAACTAACTTTGATGGAAGGGATGCTAGGCTAATTGGGAAGGTGGAAGGGAGGACATTTTACCTANGTTTCCNACCGAGTANTTGAGCCATTCCAACAAAAGACAATAGATANGGAGTACCAACTCTTGCAGCTTGAATGGCAAGCTCTCGATGACCGATATGCAGGGCATCAAANTTCCCTAGAGCAACAATGCCTCCTGAAAATTCAAAACAAACTGCATAAAGACTGCGATAATGTTTATATCTTCAGCCAAATAAGGCTCTTTCCTAGAGTGAGAGAAATCTCTACCCAAATGAGAAGGAATGACACTTGAACATCACTGAAACACATTATTTTATCCATAATAATCCAAAGCCANAAAGGTCACTACAGATANCTGTAACTGGGGAAAGCCCTTCAACTGGAAGCTCAGGATCATCTTCTCCCTNGCTTCGGAATAAGAAATACGGACAAATAATTAAGCAAAGACTCCAATTTTGAAAATTTGAGTAGAAAATTATCACATAAATATATCTTCTGTTTCGTCCATGGGGATCCAATTAGTCCTATAATTCTAATAAACCCAAAC